TAGCGCTCTGACCAGGGCTGACCACAGTTTGTCTGTTGGGATGTTGAAACAACAGATCTTTCCAGATACTTCTCAAGCAGCTCCCCTGCAGGAGTGAGGGGAGGAAGAAAGGTGTCTTCAGTTTTTGGCGATCCAAGAGCAGGCTTTTCTGCCCAGGGCCCAGAACGTGTTGGATCCTCTCTCGCCTCGGTGTCGGAAGACTGGCGGAAGCTTCGGGGCGTTCTTTTAAAAACACCCCCACGTTTCAGAGTAGCTGGTTCTTTGCTTGCAGTCTGCTCTCTTCCCTCTGCCCTTGCTGTCGTCTTGGCCACATTCGGATTTGTTGCCCACAAAGTGTCAGTAACTCCCTGCTGTGACTGGGGGAGCCCTTGCCAGGTGGACAGTTCTCAGATTTCCTTGAAACTGTAAAAAAAAAAAAAAAAAGTAACAGCCCTCACTTGTTCTCCGCGCACTCCTCTCGGTGGGCACCTTTCCTGGCGTCGAACTTAATCAAGACGTTAGTGAAATAAACTGTGCGCTGCTGCCATCGACTGAAACTGCTCGTCAACCTGCCCACTCGTGGTTCTCCTCGGTGCTTGGAAAGGAAATTCAGAGTCGCCGTCGATCATAAAGATGAGGAGTGAGACGTCTCGTTCCTCGCGGCCGATTATCCCCAGTCCTGGTGGTGGAGCTCTCGGTGGGTGGACGGCCCCGCACGAAGTGTCCTCAAATCTGTGCCACCCTAATTATAAAACACACCGTCATGTTAAGTATCATCAAGGGGGGAAAAACAAACTATGAGATACCATCGATTTTTAAGACCATCCCAATTTCAGAGGTGTTAAAATGTGGGGAAAGGTGTGTATCTTAGAGCGGGTGGAACGCAGTAAGAACTGACTGAAGTGGGAAGTCTTCCCTGGTTACCAACTGCTCCCCTTCCAGCACCCCCTCCCGCCCCCACCGCAGCTCATTAACAGAGCTGTGGGATTCGTGGGCGCGTGTGAGATGCACCCCCTGCCCGCATCGGCGCTGGGTGCTTAGCGCGATCACGCGTGTTGTGCGTGTGTTCCGTGCTGTGCGTGAAGCCAGGGGACTGAGCTGAGACCAGGAGAAGCGGTGGGAGTCCTGAACCACACTTGGAGTCATTGATGTTTCTGAAAGATGGAAGAATCTAGGAGTTTTCTTTGGGTTGTGTTGGACTCGATGAGATTCCTGTTGTCTTCTGAAGGCGTGGTAAAGAGCTTGTTGAGGGACCCTGGGACGCTGTGTGCCCTCCCTGACCTGGGCGGTTGACAATGGCTCGATGGTAAACAGAGGGCCACCAGCTCTTCCAGACCCCGGCCTGTGCTTCCGCAGTCCCTGACGCACGCCAGCCTCGCCCTGTGGGGGTCCCCACGGTTTCCTCTCCTGCCCCGAAAGATAGCGCTCAGCGTTATCGGAAACCTTCGTTTTATCAGAATCCTCCCGAATTATTATACTTCACAGTATGGATGACTTTTAAGCACCTGTGTGACTCCAACCCTTCTTAGTGTTATAATAATTTTAAGCAAGAGTGTAAATACTCCCAATGTGGAAAAACATTAAGCAAAGGGATTATGGTATTTATTTTCCTGGTAAAGGTGGACATTCAGATTTTAGCGAAAGTGATTTCCCAGCCAGGTACAGTGACAAAGGAAGGGATTGAGAACTTTCTTATTTACATGAGTGAAAGTGTGGCATTTACCGGTGTACTTACACTGCTTTCTATCTTTCTTCTTGCAGTTTTTGGGAATAACATTTCTTGGAATTGGACTGTGGGCGTGGAATGAAAAAGTAAGTTGAACGTCACGAAAATGCACACATCTGGGTTGTTAGATGCTACACGTTATGTGTTATCTCCTCTTCCTCTTTGACAGCTGCAGAGTACAAAGAGTCATGGTTCTTTAACAAGAAAGAGTGTTCGTGGAAGATAAATGGTCATATTCTCACAGACTTTAGGAATTGTGCCTGAGTCGATCACTGGGTCCAAATAACGACAGAAGTAACAACACGAGCACACAGCAGAGAGTGCGCTTTGGAATTTGATCAGACAGCCAGAGATCCGTGTTTCCCTGGGCTGTCCCCTCACTTGGGCACAAGCATTTCAGTAACTATTATAAATATCACTGAACTGCATATAGTCTTTTTTTCTCTTTTGCTTTTTTTTCTTAAACCCTTTGGAGGATGACTCAAGCCATAAAAAATGATTTTTTAGCGTGAGCATTGTATGATAAACTGCTAGCATGTGGTATGAAGGAAGTGCGATATAAATTCATGTTTGAATATCAAGTAAACTCATCATTAATGCTGAAGAATGGGGCTTTTGGCTGCTGGTTTGTAAGTCTTAGGAAATATTGAGTTTATGATCAAATACAGTTTAACAAAAGGAAAAAATCTGGAACTACGGGGTGGTGTGTTCAACGCGACAGTGAAGATGAACTGTTCTGGGCAGTTCTGCTGAGAGCAGCCCCCCCCCCGTGCCACGCCTCTGCCGTGCTTCCCGTTGCGCTTTTAACTTGTTCTCTCCAGCTTCCCTACCCAGGCTACCCCTAGAATTCAAAAACGAACATGAACCCCTTTTTCTTCCTTCTTTGGAAGCAAAATCACTTGCGGTATTTTATCCATCCAGCGCTTGGCTGTACAAGAAAGCTTTGTCCTCTTCCACCTTGTATCGATTGGTTAAAAGTTGCTATAAACTAGGAGATTAGCTTAAATTTTCCCGGAAGACCATTCTCTTATCTCTCAGGTGTTTCGCCCTCTGAGCCCTACCCTGGCCTGGAGTCAGGGGGGCTTCGCAGCGGTCGGTGTGTTGAGAAAGGGGAAATACTGAGGTCGTTCAGGAAATGAAAGCCCTTTGGATGCCAGGAGGAATTTCCACGTCTAGAACAAGGTTCAGACAGACCATATAAAACAAAGCTCAAAGCAAATCCTGAGTTTTGAAAACAAACCGTCCTCTGTTTATTTACAAAACGCTCCTGCAGATGTAAAATGTTTTGTGGGAAATAAAGCACCTTTCGGCAGCCTGAAGTCACTGAGGCGAACTGGGGTTTTGAGGCAGTGATTCCACAGGAAGTGGCACAAAGGAAGTCCCCACAACAGAGATGGTTCGATCTCCAGAAACTTTGACGCTAAATGCTGGTCTTCTCTTCGGATTATGATCGGCTTCTGCCTCGATCCCGTGGTGAGCTTGGAGATCTGCGGAATCTCAGAGAGTCCCCTTTTAGAAGCCCCTCCGGTTGGTTAAATGCCAGATAACACAGCTTTTTATAACTCCTTTAATAAGAGTCCATTTCTGCCTGCTTTGAAAAAATGCTGGAATGCATTAAATGAGCTAATTGTCTGTTCTAGCAATAAACAGCAGTTGGTCATTTTGAAGTTTTTTTTTTTGTTTGTTTTCTCTTTGTGAGATACAATTATCTTTTTGTTTCATCAGTTGCCCATCATGTCTCTTCTCTGGTAAAATCACAAACTTCTAGAACGGGCAGTGTCCTCCAAGTATCAGCGCAGAGGGGTGGTGTGTTCTCAGCATGGATGAAGGAGCAGTCCCTTCTTGTCAGGGCCACTATTAGGAAATAGAAAAGTGTCTCTTGAGACGGAAAGTCATCTGGCCAAGGTCCCCAGCTACTATGGAGCAGACTCCGTGAGCAGGGACCAGTAGAGGCAGCAGAGGGTGAAGGTGGCATTTCTGGGACCTGGGCGTGGGGCGCATGGCGGTGAGTGACGCGGAGCCCTGCCTCGTGGGGCTCGCGTTCTAGTGGGTGACTAGGAGAGGCAGCTCAGTGGCCACGTTTGTGTGTCCAGGTGCTGTGAACACTGGCACGAAGCATCAGGTACAGGGCGGGGCTAGGTAGGGAGTAGGGGGAAGAGGCGTCCCTTTCAGATGGAGTAGTTGGGAACAGCCACCCTGACCGGGTGCCGTGGGAAGGAGACCTGGATGAGGTTAAGAGGAGTCTGCAGAGTGCTGGGGGAAGAGCATTCCAGAAGAGGGAATAGCAAGTGTGGCGGCCCTGAGGCAGGGAACGGCAGGAAGTGCAGTAGGACTGGCAGGGAGAGGGCGAGTACAAGAAGAGGTAGGGGGTGTGCCAAGGGAGGAAGGCAGAGGCCAAACCGGGAAGGAGTTGGGGTGTCTTGGAAGTCTGAGAGGAAGCCACTGGGTGTTTCCATAAGGGAGCGTTGTGGTCTGACTTCTGTGTTAAGATTGCTCGGGCGGCTGTGTGGGACGAGGGCACGGCTTTGGGGCTTGCCGTGGGCTGGATGTTTGTGCTCCCCCAAATTCACATGCTGAGGACTCATCCCCAGGGTAGTGGTACTCGGAGGTGAAGCTTTCTGGAGGTAATGAGGTCATGAGGGCAGAGCCTTATCGGAAGAGACAGGAGAGAGATGACATCTCTCTGGCCCTGCCAGGGAAGGACATAATCAGGAAGAGGCCGCTCACTGCGCTGAATCCGCTGGCACCTTGGTCTTGGGCTTCCAGAACTGAGAGAAGTAAATGTTTCCTGTTTAAGCCCCTCAGCCTGCGGTATTTGTTCTGGGAGCCCGAGCTGACGAAGACAGGGCTGAAGAGACCTGCGTTGAAATACTCCATTGCGTGATGGCGGGCAACTGAGTTAGCGTCTCTGAGATGCGCTTTCTGGTGCGAGCAGTGGGGACACTAATCTCACTTCCTAGGACTGCTGTGGGGGTTAAACGAGATGGGCCTCAGCGTGTGCTGCTGTAAGGCAGTGCTCACTGCAGACGTGGTTCCCTCCCACCTCGACCCGCGACTGTCTCACATCCACTCCTACTTGGGGGCAAGAGCAAATGGTGGCTTTGAAGGCCGCCTCAAATTTTAGGAGAGTTTCAGGCTTCAATCCATGGACCAGAGAATTAGTCTTGTTTTGGGGTCTCTCAAGGAAGATGCGACGTGCATTGATCTCCCTGGTAACTGCCGAGGCTGCTCCGCCCAAGCCCACTGGGGTGACTCTGGAGTTGGGCCAGGCCTCGATGGGGTCACTGACTTTTCAAGGTGAACCCCGGCCGGGTGGAGGGTGGTGGGCAGTGTGCACCAGCCCATGAATCAGAAAACCCCCCAGACCCAGAGGTGGCCACATTTACCTTGAAAGAGACCTGGACGGAACATCCTGAACTGGGTCGCAGCTTGGAAGGATCAGATTGTCACTGGAAGAATCACATTTTCTTAATAAATGCGGCTTTCGGCATATTTCTGTGGAGTACAGAAGCATTGCAGGCAAAAATGATTACCCGTCACACTTACTTAATATCAATCTGAGTTTTAAACCTAGAGCTAATATTGCAGTTGAACATTAGACATGATAATTTAAATAATTCATTTTATCTATGTTCCAAATCGACTCTAAAGACGCAAAGGATGACTGTCTCCAGGGAAGCTGGTTGTGTGCAGTTGTTCAGAGATCATAGGACCTGCTGTCGGGAAGGAACATTAACAACTAGGTGGCCTGAGTCACCTCCACAAACACCCTTGGCAGCACCCGGTCACAGCACATTGGTTCAGATAACGTTTATTGAGCACGTAGCATGGAGCAGGCTGAGTCAGGACTGCAGGGATGGGAAGATGAAGGGACGTAGCTTAGTGCTTGTGGAATTTACCGAGTTGTAGGAAGGGTACGCGTGTACACGTAAGATACATGCGTACATATGCTTAGTACATGGCAGTAAACGCTAGTGAGGAGTGTTGTGTTTAACAGTTCCCACGGCAAAGTACTCACCATTTCCGTCCCTCTGGGTTGCCCTTGCTGTTGGAAAGACCTTCCTTCTGCCGAATTCCAGTCGTGTCCCACTAGTTTTTGCTCACGGATTCTGGATCTACCCTGTTGGATCCCACCGAAAACGCCCTTGCACGCGTTAGCCCTCGAGGTATTTCGGGGTGGAGGCCTGGTTCCTTCTGAGTTTGCAGACACGTCGCTTCTCTCTGGGTGGTCCTCACGTGAGCGTCTCTGGCCCCCTCTCGTGTGTCCTCTGTACGTGGAGAGGGAGCTCGCGGGGCCGTAGAGAGCATGGCTCCCCTCACCTGGTGTCCGCGCAGCCGAGATCCACTGCTGGTCACCGAGAGTCCCAAGCTGGTTGCAGCCCCAGCCGGTTTGCCTGACGGCCGGCTGATCTTCAGAGGGGAATGCGGGATTCCACGTTTACACCGTGGTGTTTCAGCCCACCCCTCTCCACCGTGGAGACAGCCCAGGGCCTGAGCCCGCCATCTAGCGTGTTCCCCGTCCTGCTCCGCTTGGTTTCAGCTGCACGTTTCAATCAACCTCCTCCCTCGATTCCTTCCTCTAAGTCAGACTGTCCTTCTGGCCCCGTGCCACCGGGGGACACTGTGATCGAATAGGTCCGGGTGGGCACTGGGATGCTCTACTCTAACGAGCCGCCTAGATTGTTCTGACTGCAGTCAAGTGTCGTTACCGCTGATAAAAGCCGCTGATACATTGAGCAGGGCAAGGACAGAGCGCAGTGCCATGGCACGAGAAATTTCCTTTGGGGTTGACACTCATTCACTTATGTGTGCCCTTGCTTGTCATCGGCCAGGCAGCTTCCGATGCATCTTCTTGTCATTGTGTCAGACTGTCTTTCTGCATCTTGTCTTTGTAGATACACTGTGTCCTCACTCGTCTCTGATTAACCAGCCTGGGGACTTTCTTACTGGACCCATGCTGGGTCCCGAGCACGTCATTGTCTTTTCCAGGCACTCGGGGACCCTTATCAGTAGAGCAGGGACTAAGGCCTGGTTCACCACTCCTCTCTTCCAGACACACTTTCCTCACTTGGCTTCCGAGATACCA